ACTTCACGAAGTGGGTGGAGGTCAAGTTGCTAGCTTCAATCACCAAGAAACAAGTCGAGGGGTTTGTATGTAAGAACATCATTACTCGCTTCAGAATCCTAAGGGCCCTTATCACTCACAACAATACTCAATTTAACAATGTGAAATTAGGAGAGTTTTGCTAGTTTTACGAGATTCAGTGGAGGTTCAGCTCGGTAGCTCATACTAAAACCAATGGTCTCGTTGAGATCACTAACTAAGCCATCCTCGAAAAATTGAAGAAGAGGATCGTCAGAGCGAAGGGCACCTAAGTGGATGAGCATCTTGTGAACCTCCTGAATGACACCTAAGTCCGACTCCAGGGAATCGGCTTTAGCCTAGTATTCAACACCGAGATTGTTTTGCCACTCGAGATGGTCTTCATAACATCTTGGGTTGAGAGCTTTGACAAAAAAACCTCCGAGGAGGGATTTCGAGCCGGACTCAACATAACCAATAAAGTTAGAGCCAAAGCATATTTGTGGGTACTGAGATATAAAAGGGATGTGGCCAAGCACTACGATCGAGGAATTCACCCTTGGGGGGTCGGACTAGGGGACTTAGTGCTCCAAAAAGCTAACGTCAACGACCTATTCAGGTCTCAAAGGAAATTGACATCGAATTGGGAAGGACCTTACTGAGTCATTGAAGTCGTCCGAGATAGAACATATCGTCTCGAGACAACAGAGAGTGTGATGTTATTGAGATTGTGGCACATTGTCAACTTAAAAAAGTTTTATCCCTAGGACCTTGGGTGTTGTAGGTCGGGAAAGGCTACCTCCTAGTTTTAAATGTTGGTTTACTAAGCTTAGGATATCAGTTGAAAGATGTATCTTTAAAGTGCCTGTTGTGAATTCTATTACTCCTAATAGTACTTATACGTACCGGGTTGAGCATTTACATATGAAACGAAGTTCTGACCTATCAAAATAAAGTGTTGTAAAGGTAGACAAAAAGGAACGAGTCAAGCAAATCGACCCAACAACCAAAACAAAAAGGGAAAGATCGACGACTAAAGGCAAAAATTCAAGCGATAAGGTAAGGTGGCAAGTTGGTGCTATCATCAAAGGGCACCTCGGTTGCCATAGGGATATTCTGGTCCTCAGGATAATCCATGAACAAACCATCCTTGAGTTGTAGCTTGGGGTATCTCGCCTTGAAGCGGGCAAAGGCAATTTGGTACTCGAACTACTATGAGACATAACCCACGCCAAAAGAAATTTATTGTGGTAGAAACATAGACCCAACATGCTTGAGGTACCTGAATTAGAAAAACCCAACCCACAAGATGAGACCCCGAACGCTCTTACGCCGAATGAACTAAATGATGTGCTTTGAACTTCTCTCATAAATAGCCCCAAAGTATGCCTTCAAGAGGGAATAAATGATAGAAAATTTACCGTCAATCGACATGTGGTTGCCACATGAGATCCAAGTCACCCTCCACTCATTTATGTACGTGGATAAAGATTCAAAGCAAAGAAACATAAGCTTCTTTCTCATTCATTATGATAAGCATAGTAATTATAAACTTTATTATCTTCCTTTATGATAAGGAAGACAACCTCAAACTTTTTTCTTATCCATTTAGGTATTAAAAATATATTATGAATTTGGGGACCTTTTTTCTTTTTCAAACTACTCAAACTTATATTTGGAAATCTCGGATTACTAACTTTAGCATTAAAAGGATAAGATCGGAAAACCGTTTCCAACCTCAATCTTCATATAGGTAGCACACTGAGAGTACGATATTACTATCTTAGAATTAAAAGGATAAGATCGGAAAACCTTTTCCAACCTCAATCTTCATATAGGTAGCATTAAAAGGATTAAAGCATATTAAGTTATAGATCAAACCGATATATCTTATCTATGCTTGCAATACTTAGTGATGCTCTGTCTGATTTGAATATTGATCAAGTACGGCACCAACAAGAGTCGATCACGGATTAGATTATCCTCCTCATCGTTAAATAGCACAACCCCCAGTCCCAAATCTCTGTCCTCTCCATCCTCATTCAACATGGATTCTGAGATGTGACATATCTATGCTCCTTCTCCCGCAGTCGACACGTGCATGGCGTCTTCGGTCACCGGAAGAAGGCGTCTTTAAAAGCCATGCAGAGCAAGTATGACGCAGGGCGATCGAAGAAGCCTCACTGTAGGGCTCTTCGAGGCACCGCCGTGATGCTCCCACCACCTCCTGCATGCCCTATCTGCACCTCCACTCCTCATTCACTAGGCCGTGATGGTGGACCTTAACCTCTCACGCCATCATGGCCATCACACGGCAACCTCAGGCCCATCTCCTGACGTCATCCTCTACCCCCCAACAAACTAATGTTCTCTTGAATACATCCCCCGATTCCTCGCTTCACCACAACACGCCACGGCTTTGCATGCCCATCTTCTTCCATTCGCTAATGAGGCAAGAGAGACATTTTTCAGATTAAGATTTTAAGAGCATTTTTTTATTGGTAGAGTAGTATGGATATCATTATAAATTATGTAAAGTTGCCCGATCACTTCGAACAATAAACAGAGTGTAAGAGATCTAAAGGATGAGCAAAGCCATAATCCGCAATACCTCGTCTTCAATGTCTGTAGGACCGCCATTTGAACCGCCCATCTGCTCTCATTCATTGCTCTTCTCGGAGGTAAAGACCCAACTCCTCTACCTATATATCCATGCCCTGTCGTGAACATGGATGTGTGTGTTTCATCAGCTCCACTCTCTGCACACTACGCTTCGCTTCTGTGCTTGGAGAGATAAAGATGCGCGCTGTGCCATTGCCACGGTTCCTGAGCTCAGTCGAGCTCGCTTACCTGAACGTGGTTAATCACTTGCTTGCCTTCCCTATCATCCCTGTCATGGTGGCCGTCCTCTTGCAAGTGCTCGAGCTCGGCCCAGATGAGCTCATCGCCCACTGGAGCTCCCTCGGTATCGATACCATCCACGCTTTGTGCACGATCTTTACTGTTGTCGTCGTCGCGACAGCCTACTTCATGTCGCGACCGCGCCCTGTTTACCTCGTCGACCATGCTTGCTTTCGGCCCCCGCGGTCCTTCCGCGTCCCGTTCGCCACCTTCTTCGAGCACGCTAGCCTCGTGCCTTTCTTCGACGAGAAGAGCGTCCGCTTCCAGGTGCGCTTCCTGGAGAGCTCGGGCCTCGGCGAGGAAACCTGTCTCCCGCTCGCCAACCGCTACATTCCGCCGTGCCCTTCCATGGAGGCCGCCTGCGCCGAGGCCCGGCTTGTCATCTTCTCCGCTATTGATGAGCTCATCGCCAAGACGGACCTTAAGCCCAGGGACGTCGACATCCTCGTCGTCAACTGCAGCCTCTTCTCCCCGACGCCGTCGTTGTCCGCGATGATCGTCAACAAGTACAAGATGCGTAGCAACATCATGAGCTTCAACCTCTCCGGCATGGGGTGCAGCGCGGGGCTGATCTCCATCGACCTCGCTCGCAGCCTGCTCCAGGCGCACCCCAACTCGTACGCGCTCGTCGTCTCCACAGAGATCATCACCCCGAATTTCTACGCCGGGAACGAGCGATCGATGCTCCTGCCGAACTGCCTCTTTCGCATGGGCGCCGCGGCTGTGCTCCTCTCCAACAGCCGCCGGGAGGAAGACCGCGCCAAGTACCGTCTCCTCCATGTGGTGCGTACCCACGAGGGCGCGGACGACCGTGCGTACCGCTGCGTCTACGAGGAGGAGGACGGCGAAGGCAACTCTGGGATCAATCTCTCCAAGGAGCTGACGACCGTCACGGGCGAGGCGCTCCGGGCCAACATCACTGCGGTGGGCCCGCTGGTGCTGCCGGTCACGGAGCAGCTCCGCTTCCTGGCGAGCCTGGTGGCCCGGCGGCTGCTGGGCGCACGGGGTGGGAAGCCTTACATCCCGGACTTCAAGCGGGCGTTCGACCACCTCTGCATCCACGCCGGGGGACGAGCGGTGATCGACGAGCTGCAGCGGAGCCTGGGGCTCCCAGCAGCCCTCGTGGAGGCGTCGCGCATGACGCTGCACCGCTTCGGCAACACGTCGAGCAGCTCGCTGTGGTACGAGCTGGCCTACATCGAGGCCAAGAGCCGGATGCGCCGGGGCGACCGCGTGTGGATGATCGGGTTCGGGAGCGGCTTCAAGTGCAACAGCGCGGTGTGGCGGTGCCTGCGCGCCCCCAAGGCGCCCGTTGACGGGCCGTGGTCCGACTGCATCCACCGCTATCCGGTGCACGTCCCCGAGATGGTCAAGCTGCTATAAGCCTATAACTCCATCGCATTCATCTACCCACGTCTCTCTCTTTACAGTGTCTTCCACAGTGTTCTTCAACAATTCATCTGGTCTGTCATGACTTTGCTCTTGCCGTCCAATTGGATGGGACGCGACAATGTTTCGTTCCTGTTGTTACTGCGTTTCGAGGACTTGGCTTCAGTGCATTGACTGAAGAGTATCTGAGATCGCAGTCAATTATTATGTTCATGACTCGCAAGCATGCATATAACTGCAAGTAAACAGCCTGTGTTCTGTCGATATATCGGCTGGTGGTACCGTACCTTTCCGCGATGAGCATCTTCAACCCCACCGCCCAATCGAAACACCTCTGCGAGGATGATGTGGTCTGATCATAGAACTGATGAAGTTGGACTCATATCAGTTTAACCTAATGACTTTGATACGGAAATATATGTATATATAAATATATATATATATATATATATATATATATATATATATATATATATATATATATATATATATATATATATATAGGGAGAAGTATCGTGGTGCCCCGCATTTGATACGCGAGTATAATTGGTTCGGTGAACCGGGATCCTCGGCCGGCCCACAAACTTTGAACAATGGAAAAGGCCAATTTCGTGTTCGGCGTCCTGAGTGGGACATGCGATCTGGATGACTTAATTTGATTCACCGACTGAACTCCTCTCGTGTTTATCCGCCTCTATAATATGCCTCGCCCCAACCTGCGGTTTGGCCCCTTTTGCGTTCGAAGCAGCCGCAGTGCGATTGGGGAAACGAGAGAGATGAAGATCTTCGTCAAGACGCTCAAGGGCTCCAACTTCGAGATCGACGTCAACCCCGAAGACACGGTACCTCTCATCGATTTGATCCCATCCCTTTCGGCGATCCGATCCTCTTGGATTATGTGCGTTTGTTTGATCTTTTTCGTTGTCCTTCCACGAGTTTGACGCCATCGCTGCTTCTTCCGACCGAATTTGGCTTGGTTCCTTTGACCCTCTTGCCGGATCGTTGGGTAATAGGGTTCGGCACATATCTTGTAGTTGGAGCTCTTGTCGAATTGTTTCCTGTCTTCAGATTTAGGGCATGGTTCTGTGTGGAAAGGGCTTTGTTTGCTTCTAGGGTTACCCGCACAATTGAATAGAGTTTGTCAATTGGATGGATATGCCGGTGGGGTTATATATTATTTGGATTGGTTATGCTTCACTTCAAATGATTCTTACTAGAATGTTTGGCCCTTGCATAAAGTTGATGTATCAAGCAAAGATGTCGTGTCTATTATTCTCTTTGTCATGAAAAAGAGTCTTTTGGGAGAGATTCTTTGGATTGTACTGGATTTGATCATGAAAATTTGTAATTGGCCGTGTAATGCTACTGATTAGACTTCATTTGCTATGTAAAAGCTAAGCAACTTAAGCTACACAGTTGGGTCATCATTCCAATATGCATTGCACATTTGCATATTACATTTACCTATTTGTTATTTCTAATTGGCACGTTCACTTACTTGCTCATCTGTTCTCCCTCAAGTTCATGCCCTTGCATGTCTTGCTGTCTAGAAAGGTTGGTGTCCTAATGTGGATATGGACTTGATGGGAATGGTCAATTGCATGCGGCCTTACCTCAGATGCAAAGAAGCTATTTCTATGGCTCGAACCCTTCTAAAGTTGTAACTGAGCAATCCTATAATGCCACTGAAGTTTATTTGTCACTATTATAGATTTTTTTTTTTTGAAGCTTTCTGCCTCCACCTTATTTAATTTGTGTGTGATAAGGAAAAAAATAAATATGGGGAGTGAACTGTGGTCTGTGTGTACAGTGATTATTTCTATATGATTGTTTTGCAGGTTGCTGATGTAAAAAAAAATATTGAGACCTCTCAAGGAAAGACTGTTTACCCAGCTGAACAGCAAATGCTTATACATCAAGGGAAAATTCTTAAAGATGATACAACATTGGATGAGAACAAAGTTTTCGAAAATAGTTTTCTTGTTATAATGCTGAGTAAGGTACTTGTCTTTTTCCCCGAAAAGATCATTCTGCTTCTTAACATTCTTACATTTTTGGATTAGCCACAAATCTTGGTTATTTAGATTGTCCTACAAGTTCTGGTGATTTTTTGTTTATCATCATATTGCTGCCTTTAACAATGGAGGCGTAGGATGTCACATTTACTGCAGTTGCCAGCTGTCATTGTACTAACAGTTGATTTCAGTTATATGGATCCCACAAATCTATTCAGATTTTTGTCCTATGTTATGTTTTACTGAACCTGTTTCATGATATTGCAACTTGGGGGAAATTTCAACTAAACCCTTATATTCAGTATTTTCTACCTTAAACTTTAAGGTACATTTTGTCCAAGTTCCATCGTCACTTTCCATCCGCAAGCCTTAATGGAAAGCCTATGTGATTGTTTAATAAAACCCTACCTGTCAACATGAGATAAATATTTGTTAGAAAAATGGTTTCAAAGATTGATTTAACCAATACATCTTGACCAATAACAGAGCCTATCACTTGTTATCATTCACCATACTACACATTTACTTTTTTTAAATTGTTTTTTCAAGTGATGCTGGATTGGTACCATACTAGTCCAATGGGTTGTTGATACCAATATTAGCCATTATTCGAAACCTTGTAAAAAAGTGTCCAATATGCTCATACTGGTTAGTAACTCAAGTCCAGTGTGCTGAAAATTTTTTTGAACCTTACTGGCATGTAAGAAGACTCCTTTATGCTTAAATAGGTTAAGCTTATTATAGGGAAAGTTGACTGTAAGACTTGATTGAAATGCTAAGTTCAGGGGATGAATTGGCCAAAGTTTGAAGTTTGGGAACCAAATCGAAATTTGCTCCAGAATTTAAGCATTAATGGTGTAATTTGCCTTTATCTCTTGATATGCTGTCAACTTTAGAACTATTTTCTAGTGTTATAAATTTCAACTTTCTTGGCATTGCTTCAGTATGATATTAGCGCAATTACTCAGCTAGGTACACTGGCACTTTCATTTGAAAAGTGTCATCCACTAGGATGGTGATATCCCTACTAGATTAAATTTGTGTAAACAGGATTTATAGATCTGCTTGCATGCCATTTTCCTGCCCTGTCCATTATTGATGCCATGATTTCAGACCAGACAAGGGGCATGAAGGTAGCTTCTTTTGTGAAGGTGTATGTATAATAATGTTATACAGAATAGCCATAAATTCAGGTAGAGTTTCATGGCTTTGTAACTTGGGTGGAAGATTGATTGATCATTAAACAAAATGTTTTCACATGAATCCTTTGCTTGATATTTATGTATGTAAATCTTTTGCTTTGATATAGTTTAGTTTTTGTGTTCAAGATTTTACTTTGATTTGAATCATGACCAGCTAACACACTGGAATTTTATAGATGATATAGACCTTAAGCTGAGGTGCCTGGTAAATAAATAGTTAACTTGCAATTTTGAGTTTTTTATGATTGATGAATGTCCTTTTTGCCCTTCCTAGACCAAGGGCTCATCTAGTGGAGCTTCGACTACAGAAAAAGTACCTGTAAGTCAGGTAAGAAGACATTTTTTTGATGTATGGTATAACAAAGTCCCTAACTATATTATTGTCCATCACATTTTTTGCTGTCATATCTAATGCATATTTCCTGTTTCATCAGAATGAAATATTCTTAAGCCCATCAGTGACAACAACAAATGTTTGCTTCTTCCATGTTTTCTTGAGTTATATTTTGTGCTGACATGAATTGAAGCTGAAACACACTTTCAAACTTTAAATACTATCAAACTTAAAAATTAAATTGTTGCTTCCTCATTGTTGTTGACACATACTTAGAGGAATTTAAGAACAGATCCTCTTTTGTAATACCCTGAATCTGATGGTGTACCCTGAGGTAATAACGAGGATCAATTTTCTTACCGTGTGGTGTAGATCAGACAATCCTGTTGTAGCAACCCCTAATTTAAGCATGAGGTGAATGTAATGTTAGTTAGATGGTAAGTTATATTCTTATTTAATAAGTGCTACATCTCTATGTTGTGTTGTGTCAAAAATTGGCTTACCGATGCCACATTAAGAAGGCATAAAAAATGTTAAAATAAAAAAAATCAGAGGCTAGGGATCACCTTCTTTTGTGTCTTGCAGTTGATGCTTAAGACACTTGGGTGGTTCATAGGATGGTTTGCAATATGCCTTATTCCTAGTTATAAAAAAAATGTCATCCGTAATCAAACAGCTTGCCTACTTTGGCCCGTATATGATGCTTGGCAACTAGTTATATACTACTGGCATTCAATGGGTGTCTTATATGGTGAATATGACATGTATCTTTTTTGGATTCAATCTAGTGTGTTAAGTAATTGTAATTAGACGATATACCATAATTAGTCTCACATTAGAAGTGGAAAGATAGTTGTGATGGTATATATATGGGTAGACATGTCCACCACCACTTGGACTTAAGTATTTTGTGCCACGTGGTTTATGCTAATAAGTTAAGATAACCATCGAGCTATGTTGTGACAATATGGTATCAATGACAACTATTCATGGTATGGTAGCTACAATGGGACTTAGATATGTTCCAGGTGTGGAGAGAGTTGCCTGGTTGACCTTAGAGCCTTTTGATCCCACATCACCTATCAGGTATCCCAGGTGATTTATCTAATTAAATGTGTATGATTGATGAGGATTTCAGGGATATTACTGGGGCAGATTGTAATCTCCTGATTTGATTTGATTGGTCTGATATTAATCATAAGCTTGGCTTTGAATTGTATATGATTAACAATTCACTTCCAACTTGTAAGGTGTATTTCTGATGGTTTCAGATCAGATTGTGACACTAGACCTGTTGCGTATTGTTGGCCCCCGTGGTTTTTAATGTTGGAACATTCCTCATGTTGCTTATTAATATTTTTAGAACCTGAAGGAGGAAATTATATTGGTGCGATAAAAGAACTGTTTTTACTTGCACTGATTAGTGTTTAGATGATTTGTTTGTTTGTCTCTGTTATACTGAAAAAGCATTAATTGATTGCACAATTTTCTGAAAGATAATAGTGTTACTTGTCACTATATGTATACATAGTCATGTGGCTTTATTTTGTTGAGACAAGTTAAATGAGCCAAGTTCATTGTGGCCCTACAACAGAAGTTGGGTCATTTCTGGGCATGACAGTACCAGCCAAAATGTCAGGGGAGTGCATTTGTTGCTGCCGGAAGTGTGAAGAGCATGTTTTGTTATACCAACAGATCCTTATATCGTTCCTAAGATGGTCAATAACTCATCATTTATGGTTTCTTCTTATTTCCTCTCTCTGGGGTGGCATGCATTTATGTTGTGACATACAAGTGAAATCTTAATAAGTTGACTTCCTAGCAATTCAACTGAACTCTAATTAGAGATGTTACCATGAAAATGTAACCATTTTCCATAAAATACTTCTTTACATCATTATTTGTCTTGCCTCTGCTGAATTAGATACTAGTGTGGTGGCACTTTGAACTATATGATGGGATGTCACTGTAGTCTTGCATTTATTCAATGTTTTTGAACATGCTGTACGTATATGCTTGAGATGAATGTCATGTGTTTTTTTTTTAGAAAACCTCATGATTTTCTTTCTTGCATAGGCCCCACCTACTATTACTGCCCCCCCTGTTTCTTCAGTTCCTGTGTCAGCTCCATCTCAAGTACCTGCACCAACATTGTCTTCGTAAGTTCCTAATGGTTGCATGCTTGTGTTTTTATGGATTGTCATGTATAGATGACTTATTCTGATTCTGTTTTCTAATATATATGTATATGGTGTTTCTGTGATTCACTATGCAGGGTACCTACAAATGCACCAACTCCTACTGCCACAGCTGCTCCAGCCCCTGCAGCTACCATATCGTAAGTTGTCCATTTGCTCATTTGAAAGAGATGCAAATGGCTCATCCTTATCTTACAAGGATATCATGTAATACATGTTAATCATCTAAATATATGGCATTGTGCAGCAGTGAAGATGTTTCTAGAGTTAAGAATTTTGCAGAATCAACTCTTTGGAAGATTTTGTTATCGTGTGCACCTTGCTAAGTTATATTTATTTTGACAATTTCACTTGTGTGTGAAGGGTTGTCTGACATTGATTTTGTAATTCATGGTTGTACTTTCACATGCTATGTAACATAAATTCCATTATTTACTTATAGAATATAGAGAAGAATTCTAATAAAATGTTTTTGATTTTTGCTGGTATGCTGTTTCTGACAGTGTATGTGGTTCCTATTAGTTCTGTTTTTTATGCTTCTTGGATCAACTTGGTACACGTGTCCATTGTGATATGAATATGATGTGTTGGGTTGTTACAGTCAGCCAATTTTCCTTTGTGAATTGATTGTGTTTTGTAACTACATATTTATGCTAAAGATGCAGGTGACAAGAATTTGTACTGCAATTTCTCATTGTTGGCAAAACTAGATCATATGCTATTTCTTCGACTTTTACGGGAAGAGATATCCTACCATTTTCTTTTATATGCTTGGACAATTTTTTAGGTTCTTACCTTCTGATCTTGCTTCTGCTTATGCTTGCTTTGCTTGGTGCAGCTATTGTTTGGCTTCAAAGATAACTTAACAATTTAGTGTGTGCTTTAGACAGACGATTTGCATTCTGGATTCTGTGATTCTGTTTAACTTCTTTTTTACATGTCTGCTATCAGTATAATCTTCTACTCCTTTTTTGCTTTCTGTTCTTTATTTTTTGTTCATCGTCTTCTGTAATCTGGAATTAGATTTTCCTCTTTGAGCTTCTTTGTCCTTTTATCCTAGTTTTACTTCTATTTGTCCATTTTGTTCTAACTATATACCCCATAAAGAAAAGTAAGGAGTTGAAATTTGTTTTCTAGGTTATTTGAGGTGCAGTTGTTCGTCTACCATTTGATTTCATCATGCTGAAATTTGGTTGTATTGATATTGTTTCTGTTCGAGGGTGATCCTTGGTACAATGGTAAGGTTGCTCTTTAGTAACTTGAGAGACCAAGGTTCCAGGTTCATGCATTGGGTTTGCCATTTTGATATTGTTGCTGTTTACTTTCGAATGGAGATGGTGTGTGTTGATATTTTCTGCTTATTTCAGCTTGTTTTTTCTTGTCAAGTATTTATCATTGTTTCTCTACTCTGATTGGTTGTGATTATTTGATGGTTCTTACTTAACCTCTATTTGCTCATTTATGCTTAAACAGCACAGAAGTGGATTCATATGGTCAAGCAGCATCAAATCTTGTTGCTGGTAGTACCTTGGAACAAACCATTCAACAAATTCTTGACATGGGTGGGGGAACTTGGGAGAGGGACACTGTTGTTCGTGCCTTGCGTGCTGCATATAACAACCCTGAGCGAGCTGTTGAATATTTATACTCTGTAAGATCTTCTTCTGCATTATTTTCTTTTTTTTGTCTCTTGTTATTGTGAATGATGGGAATGAGTTTTTCAAAATAGTCATTGATCACATTCCACAGAAAGTTCTCAAGAACCTTAATAGTAAAGTTCATCAGTTAGCTAAGTTGGGAAGAACACAAGGGTTCTCTGGTTTTTGTAATAGAGGACAATTATGCAGGAAACTGTATCTGCAAATTGATATTTTCTGCTGTGCTCAAGAAAGCCCCTTGCTGAAGTTGGTTATAATATCTATTTTTAGGATTTTCAATTAATTTCTATTTTCACCTTTTAGATATTTTGTGGCATCAATTAGACAAAGCATTGCAAAGTTGTCGAAGAAGTTGATCAAGAAGCCCTAGTAATTTGCAATCTTCTTCTAAGCTATAGCAGTTTATACAGCTAGGTGTTGCTAGGGGTTTGCACTGTATGTAAACTATTAAAACGAAACTGTTTGCGACACATCAGTTTGTTTTAATGTTATCTGTTGATTTAACAAAGACATGTTAGTTGGTAAAGAAAGTCCCGATTGTCTCAAGTTAAAGCCACATAGATTGTTAAATCCAAATAAATAAAATAGGATAAAGTAATTAAGCTGAAGGACATTGAGTCTTCACCTGCTGTGCTGATTTCTCTCTTGTGATTTCCTTTTTCATTAATTTTTTAATTTTTAATTTTAATCTTCCAATCAATTATAAGGCACCCATCTGATCTGATCGATTTTGATTGGTTCTGAGTTTTGTCATTGGCTGACCGTCATTTTGATTTTGTGATCCATGGACTGATACAACTGTGAGTATTTTAGTTCTTTCATCATAGTTGATCTTATATTTAAGATGTTGACACCGCTAGAGAATCCAATATCATTAATGTGATTAGCAGGACACTAATAGTAACTCATGATTTTAGATACTGGTCTGATATTGATATTGAGCTATATCTTTTAATGTGGTGCTTGGTTGGACCGACAAACATCAATTGAAACTTACTGGTCCAGCCGGTATTTTAAACCATGGTACAAGTTGCAAAGCTTAGCATGCATACATGTCACATGATGCACAAATTAAGGATACAGGATACTGAGTCAACACAATATAGATGCACTAATGATTCAAATTGTAAAAGAACATGATAAAATGCTGCACTAACATAGGAATAAATATATTTTAGGCCTACAATACTTTACAGTGATTTAAAAAGCGCTAGGCGCCAAGGTCCAAAAACGCGCGAGGCGCTAGGCGCTCGCCGGAGCGAAGCGAGGCACTAAAATATAAAAATATATAATATAATTAATAAATATAATTATTTAAAATTTTAAATAAAAATATGCTATTAAATTAAGAAAATCTAAGATACAAAATCACAATGTCACATTAACAAAAAGTTTCAAAATTCAAAACAATAAAATTTTACATCAAAGTCATTTATGTTGAAACCTAACAATAATTTCAAATAAATAAAAATTAACAACATTAAAATCAAAATAATATATTATTAATCTATTAACAGTATTGAAAATTAATCATTTCAAAATTCAAATAAACTTAATATTAAGAGTATACTGTATACTGAGCCTGACGGAGAAACGAGGAAGCAGCGGCGAGCGGTGGCAGCGGCAGCGGGAGGCGCGAGCAGCGATAGCGACGAGCGGTGGCAGTGGGAGCAGGAGCGATGAGCAGCAAGATCGGGAGCGGCAGCGGGTTAGGGTTGGGTAAGGGTTATATCGGTTTAGTTGGTTCGATTGAACCAACTAACAACCGAACCAGGACCGAACCAGACCTAAAATCCTGGTTCGGTTACTTGGTTTACCCAGGCGCTTGCCCGAAGCACCCAGCGCCTGGGCTCGGGCGAGCGCCCAAGCGGCGCCTGTTTGAAGCGCGCCGCCTGGGACATTAGCGAGGCGCTCGGGCCTCGCCTCGCCTCGCCCGAGCGCCTTTTTCAATCACTGATACTTTATATCATTAATCTTCAGAATTTATTTATTGTGTTAGATTGTGTAGTTTATAACCACAAGTAATATCTCCTTGCAAGGGTAAGGCTGCATACGTTGATATTCTCGTCTTTGCATGTTGAATAATCATTGACCTATCCACGAGTAATCAGTGTTACTTACCTACATATTATGAAAGGGGTTAATTTTTGGTAACAAAGTACTTGAACAATATAAAGGTAGCAACACCTTTATAAATTAGCTAACACCAGTATTTTACTTCCATTAATCATAGTTGATGCTTAATGGCAGCAACATAAAACTACATATCTAAGCATATGTCCATCTTGTCAAGAATCAAAATATCATCATGTAAAATAATTAATGAATATTTTTTTCCTAAGAGATTCATTTTATAAGTTCCCTAAACTATTGGTTCTTAAAAATTATTTACTTAGAGAAGGGATACTTAAAGGAAGTATTTTTTAACATGTATCCAGTTTGTCGCCTTCAGATAACCTATCCAATATGAATATTGCTGCTAATTTAAAGTATCTATGTTTCATATATTTATCTAACCTTTTTTTTTTTGAAATATGTGTATATTTATGTGAAAAGTTTTCATTTGGCTCATGAGGTTATAAATTTCATTTCTCTAATGGTGGTCGATTTGATCTTACCTGGTTTTAATTTTACCTAGTCCAACCATGTCATTAAGTTCAATTATAAGCCAAGGAAGCACTTTAGTTGAGCACTGGTCAGCTTCCATTTAACCTTAGGGTTTCATCTTTATATTGGGCATTATATTATCCTTAGGAACAATGAAGGTGGCTCAAATAAATATAATAGAAATGGTTTTCTTCTCTGTGTGACTTTATTTATTATGCTCATCTGTTGAGCTCTTTTCTGATGATATTTTTAACATAAATTTTCCTGCAGCTGTTTTTTTCTTTAATACTTGCATAAGTTATATTTTAATCAATGTTAAAAACATACCTGTTCAATTGGCTAAATTGATATTCGATAAGTTTGAATTGGTGTTGTACTTGCATCTTCCTTGATTAGTAACTGACAGCAAGATTGACTAATTTTTTGTTGACTTTAAAAGCTATTCATAGTTACCTGGTTAACTTTCCAATGTTATGTGATATTACCAACATACTGCAGCAAATCTTTGAGAACTTCTCCGTGATGTTGTGTTTTTAAATATCTGTATGTATTTCTATCAGGGAATTCCTGATCATGCTGAAGCCGCACCAGTTGCACGAGCACCAGCAAGTGGGCAAACAGTCAATTCCCCAGTTGAGGCTCCACAGCCAGTTCAGCCTGCAGTTCCTTCAAGTGGTCCTAATGCTAATCCTTTGGATATATTTCCCCAGGTTACTGCTGTATGTTTGGTTCAGTAGTTTTTGCTTCTTGTATAAATAATAAGTGACTCTTTTTATGTGCCTACTTCAGGGTCTGCCAAATGTTGGATCACATGCCGGTGGGGGCAGCCTGGACTTCCTGAGGAATAGTCCACAGGTATCTTAGGTTCTGTTTTATAGAAGCCAAAAAACTGAGCAAGGGTTCTTGAGTACTAAACTTTTTTTTTTCCCATCTTTTGTGCAGTTTCGAGCCTTGCAGGCTTTGGTGCAGGCAAACCCTCAAATTCTGCAGGTTCTTTTATTGCTTACATATTTCTTCATTCGTTTTTAGATGGTTGATTTTGTATTACGATAGTCTTTTTGTTGTTTTCTTTTGATTGACAGCCCATGCTTCAAGAGCTGGGGAAGCAAAATCCTCAGATTATGAGGCTCATTCAGGAACATCAGGGGGAGTTTCTTCGATTGATAAATGAGCCTGCTGAGGGAACTGAGGGGTGAGGAACAGTTTTATTGTTTATCGTGACTTCGATTTTAATGAGAATGTTGGTTTTGCTAACCTTTGCTGAATCTATGTGAAGTAGCAACGTCCTAGGTCAGTTAGCTGCTGGAATGCCACAAGCCCTGACGGTTACTCCTGAGGAGCGCGAAGCCATTGAGCGTGTAAGTACGAAACCTTTTTTGCTCAATGAATCACCTTCAGCAACAGACAATGATCTACATCTACATAAACGTTGCTTGTTTTTGTTCTCAAGTAGATGCTAGCAGCATCATTGAGAAACATTATGTTCTTTTGTTTCTCTCCTATTCAAGGTTTCCCTCGTTGCATATTTATGATTATAATATTCACATGATTTAGAGGCAAGCTTTGACACTATGCGAAGGTTTATCTATGTGATCAGGATTCAAGTCAGAGAATAATTTCATTGGTTGCTAGCTACATACATTTAATCTAACCAAATACCGCATTGGTGTGAACCTAGCCCATTTGGCCACCCTAATACTGACGATGTCTGATATCCAAAATCATGGGAAGGAATTAAAATATCAGTTTGTCGAGGTATTTTATTATAAATATCGACAGTATTGTTAATATTTGAGGAAATCAAAACAACTGAAAATTATATTTAGTAAGGCATTGCAGTACCTGTGATATTTGTATGACTTTTTGTTTTAATATCCATTATATGGGTTGGCAGAACTGTTATGGGCTTTTATAAAGTAAATAGGTTTTCTGTGAGACGGCTTCGAAGCTAATAATTAAAAGAATGAGGTTTGATCAGGTTATTTGCCCTATTAAAAGTTGATATCTCATAATTGATCTGATCGATCTCTTGGAATCTAACTTATGGTTAGTGGACCAGGCGGAAAATTTGGTTTCCCTATTAGAGTCTAAATTTCATGGGGAATACTACTTTTTCAATTCTGATTTGCTTGGCCTGAAAAGTTATTAGAAGCCAAAAATCTTAGACATCTGCATATGATGTATCAGTAGAACTAATTTCCACCTCATTGTTGGCATTCTGTTCTCAAGAAAATCGGTACCTATAGAACCATCCAGCATCAGTTCAAGTGTAATTTCTGTCAGACCTTAGCACTGGAGGAGTGATTCTTTCCATAAATGTCTTTTTTCCCCCTTTAACTCATTATTTTAATTGTGGTTTTCTTTTGTTTTGTGGTGAGCCCCAATGCTGATGTGTACTGGTCCCATCAATTAGCACGAGAACTGTGCCGACCCAATATGGTATTTGTACACCCCTCTACATGCCATGCTGACGTGCCAGTACCATGGCAGCAAGTGCCATCTGACATGAATTGCATGTCTGGCACATTGAATTTACAGTTTAATTTACTTGAATACTGAAATCCTTGTTACAAGTTGCAGATGAGTTGTATTCTTAACGCACTTGTACTTGTGCACATGCACAGTCAAAAAACTAATTGTCTTGACTTCTGGAATGGGTACCGATTTATTCTTTTTTATAACCCACCAATTGGTCTTATCTTCGAATCATTTCCTTGTGGCAGTGGTAATGATGTTTTAGTCACTTCATCTATTTGCTCATCTTTGTTGGTGATTTCATCACACCTTGTTCTGGCAGCTTGAAGCGATGGGTTTCGATCGGGCGCTTGTGCTGCAGGTCTTCTTTGCTTGCAACAAGAACGAGGAGCTGGCTGCAAACTATCTTTTGGATCATATGCATGAGTTTGAAGACTGATCTGCAAACACAATTGGAACAGGTTTTTCATTCAGCTTCTACTGTGCTTATAAGCCAAATTAAGAGCGCTGTGTAATATCCATATATGCTGCTTAAGAGCACGGGGGTTATGGAATGACTTTACTTTTCTTTATAGTTTCTTGGAGACGTAATTGTGTATAAAGATTAAGTAATCGTTTTTTAATCATTTTCCTTGTGTTACGTTTCAAGCAATAGTTAGTGGCTAATCACATTTGATTTGATCTCCTTTATTCTGCGACTCCGGTTTTAAGAGTGGGATTTCACAGCTCAAGCTGATGGTTATTTATCTCTGTTTTCTCCTTCTTCTTCTTTTTTATAAAGGAAAAAGAATGTAAATCTAAACATGTTTTAAGAGTAATTCACCTCAGGAATTGTTCTTCGTATATGTTCGGATCACTTTTCTTGAATCACATGCTGTGCAAGTCGGCTTTGACTCGAGTTTATTTATTTTTGTTATTCTAAGAGCTGATTAGTGAAAATTTACATCATATATATGTATATAATATATACATGTATAGAATTGTGAAACATTGAAGTGGTTCCACTTTTTTCTACGAGGGTTCGAACTCGCTCTGAATTCGAGTGTGCCTTGAAACGAATGTTAGTTGTTTGTCATTTTTTAGAGCACACATACATGAGGCTAAGGAAATTTATGCAGAACCATGTTGTTTGAAACCTGGCATGACTACTTCTGATGGTCCAAACGGTATTCAGCCCGCAGATTCCCGCAAGGTTAAGTCCACAGTGGCGATGGCAAGAAGTGCAATTAAGGACCGCGGATCTACGTGTTGCCTCCGCTCTGCTGCCACAGGTTGATGATGTGGGTGGCCCTGTCGAGGAAGATGATCGTGCGCTTCTGCGACCAGAAGTAGCAAGGGGACTCCCGGGATCACCTACTCCACCGTGAGCCCCATCTTCTTCTTCTTCTCCATCCATATGTGGATCTCAGCGCCAGCCTCCGCTTCTCCGGCGGCTTCGCCACCAACCCCTACCACACTATCACAAAGAGGGAGGCAGCGACAGGGATGGGACGATGCAGATAGACCGATGCCCGTTTATGCTTCCGCTCGTTCGGTCCCGGCAGCGGAGGGGACGTCGCGGGCCGCGGCGGAAGCCAGCGGTGTGAGCTTCCCTCAAATGCGCGCTGGCTTAGCCTTTGAGCTGTTCTGTCACAGGGAAACGGGGCCGCCGGCAGTGGCGGAGAAGAATGACGAGAAGGGAGGCGGTGATGGGGAGGATGGGTTGGGCGGTGAGAGGACTCGCGCACTGCATGTTCCTCTCTGCTCTCGTTGGATGGAAGAAGAAGACCACTTCTCTGGTATTCGTTGTTTTGGATAAGGAGCGACATCAAATTGGGCCAATCCAAGGCCGGTTAGTGGACCGGCCCAATTATGCATGGGCAATCATTCTTGGCTCCTGTGGGAGTTCAGTTACCTTGGCGAAGGTGATAACTACACTTCCTCTCTTTTGAGCTCTGTTTATTTTCGTTAATAGAATCAGATGAAGCTATCCATCTTTCTTACCCAAAGAGAAAGGAAGATTAAAAGAAAAAGAAATCCACAGGAGATTAACTTCGCCTTGTATTCTTGATGGTTGCTTTTGTATGTACCACAGGAGAGGCGAGCTTGGGAGCATTCCAGCTTGACACTTAAATTAGAGTCATTGAGGCTTTTGGGCAGCTTCTTTGGGCTCCAATCCCTTGGGGGGAAATATTGCAGGATTTTGGCCCTTGGAGAGAACCCATTTGTCTATCATTCATGAAGAAGCACGTCATCACTCTTCTGAAATGTGATTCACCTAAGACACTGCATGACAGGAAGTTCAACAAATTACTGGAAAGAATTCCATTTAAGCTGTTTCATGTCCTTTGTTCTTATTCCATGCAAATCAGGAAGCTTTTATCTCATTATTTGGACAAACAGTTTGCAGGAACATCATAGGTGGCAAAAGGTTCACTGAATCAATTTAGGCTTTGCATCATATTACTCAACACTGATACATTTCTTCTCTGAAGCTGCTTCATCAATGCCTTTTATAATGATAGAGAGCCATTCCAGGATAAAATTCTTAATTTCTTCAAGTAAGCTGAAATCTGTCTGCCTTACAATTTTCAGAGAAAAAAGTCATGTAGGTTTTGCAATGAAATTATACCATCTATCGAAATGTTAAAAAGTCAATTGGACTTTCAGCAAAACCAACTTATTCTGCTACAAACTCTACAGGAAATTGTAGAGAAAAATTGAACTTCCTTGAATCATATAACATTGCAGGCTTTCAACTTATGACACTAAAGACAATGGAGAATAACAGGAACAATGTTGTCTAGCTATCTGAGAATTAAGATTATCGCTCACTGATTACAAACAGCAGCAAACAGCAAATCTTTGCCCTTGTTGTTCTAGTTATTATCATCAATTGTTTCTTTAGATTACCTAAGCTCAAAAAGAAAGTACAAGAGAAGGTTTCAGTACAGAAAGCACAGCCATAAATAAACTTCAGATAGAGGCAAATTAAGCTTTTGACCAATAACTTTTCTTTATTTATAACTGCAGGGCTGCCAGATAATTACCGTTATCGAGCAGATTACTGCAGTAAAAGGATCCAACCTATTATCCTGATTGGGAGGGCTGCAGTTTACATGGCTGACGTCGGCATAAGGATTTAGATGAAGGAATGACTACAACTGCTCAGTTTAAGCAACCATATTGACCAAAGCACTCAGCACTGCCTCCCGAGTTGGTAAAGCTGGGATTGCTCCCCTTTCCATCACAGTCAAAGCTCCACATGCATTTGCAAATTTAAGGGCTTCTCTAAGCCATTGTTCATCCTGTTTATTCAATGAAGAAAAATCTCAGCCAGTACTATATAAAATGATGGAATATCTGAACTAGACAGGAGTAAAAAAGGATTAATTACCTTTCCAAGAAAAAAGAACTTGATTTACAAGGTAAATTCTTGTTTGTTAACTTCTCTAATATCAGATGACATGCATTTTACAAACTCATCTTCTTAAATTTGCTTTTTTTATTTTTTCAAGCCCTAAGTTCTAGTAAGGTCTCGGTAGCCTTCAACTGCAAGCAATGTCTCAGGGAAGGTTTCAAAATATCCTCAGACATCATAACAACTAACCATATTCTACTCATGATCAAAGATTTTGAGCATTTAATTGCCTAAGTTTAAACCCATTCCAGGCTGCTTTCAGATAACTTCATAGTTTAGCTCCTCTTTTCTGCCAAGGATAAGAATGCATCAGCCAGATTGCTCAGAACATTTATTGTCTGAAACACTAAGTTAGGATCCAGCTATGCTCATCAAAATTTTCACTAAAAAGATACACACTTAGATACTATTTTTGAGTAATGTTAGTTTCTGTAGAACGTTCTCCAGTTAGTGTTAATTCATGTTTCTTGTCAAGAAAAAATTACAGATGAATTTATATGCTCTTGAACTTCCTTTTGTAACCATGATCCAGGTTTCCCATGCATGCAAACTTAAATCAATAACAAATGACTGACGAAAAACTCATGGTGTCCAAATAGGTTGTAGAATAGTGCTGTATTTACTTGCACCCATAGCAAATCAAGTTAGAGGCAAAGGTCAATGAAAAGATGTGAAGAAACTGTCAAACATGCACCATCTAGAGAAGACTGAATATAGAATAATGTATTTCTGAAACTAGAAGCTAAGAACATAATTAGATATGCATAAACAGCTTGGCAAACAGCAAATGCATAATAACTTTGCTGGTGTTCTTTTGATGAGAAAAATTATTTTCACACAAATGTCACAAATAATGCAAAAAAGCTTATATCATTTAATCAGCAAGTGCAAAACGAATGTTGAAGAAAGCAATGAGTCACTCAAATATTTATACTTGAATGTGATGTATCATCTATATACAAACAGGAAAACTTGTGGGCATAGTCACGACAAGGACAACATTGTCGTTGTTGTTATAATTACAGAAATTGGTACCTGGAGCAGTGAAATATCACTGGCTAATTGGGACAATATTCCAGCCACGAAAGCATCTCCAGCACCAGTAGTGTCCACTTGTTCAACTTTCAATCCACTAACCCTCCCACTGAAATCCTACATAATTACAAGGTATTTCATACTAAGGGCAGTGATAGAAGGAAAATGGAACAAATAATGTAGAACTGTAGTTTGAAATATCAGTAGAGAAAGAGAATCTAAAGGCTAAAATATCAGAGTTCTAAAATGAAATATATGGAGGTTTAGAAAAATAGACTAAGTAGAAGAATAGAGAGCAGCTTGGCATAATGATAAGTTCATAATCACTTGGAGCCTTTTGTATGGTTGATGGTTGGGGTATGCCAATTACTTGGTTTGTAGTATCAGAGTATTAAGGTTTCTGGTTCATTATATTCGGTTGGGACATGTCGCAACACTTACTGTGAAATATGAGGTAAGATATTTTGGTTACTAAGGCATTATTATATATTGATTTAGATCAGGAAAAAAAATCATCGGAAAATTACCTGAAACTTTTGAACTAAATACACTCTTAATTGTTTGATAAATTTGTTGTTTTTTATTTTATTTAAGTGGATTCTGTAGTACAAATGTCTCATCAGGGTATTTTATGTACATTGTTGATCCTATGTACAGCTACCTTGATAATATGTCCCACCATCCATGATGCAGAATTACTTGGAACCGGGATATCATACTCGTACCAAATTCCACGGAGATAGTGTAATCTTGGTGACCACAAGTACTATGGTCTGATTTAGATATCTTGGTTTACATTGCAAATGTCCCTCAGTCCAAGACTGAGACTAAAGTTGGATAAATGGGTTTTAGCCTTTTAGGTGGGAAGTGTTTGTGAATGTATACACTTTTAATGGTGGATAGAAGACCCATAAAATGTAACAGCTCCTGTGTAACATAAAGCATAGGAAACAACAAGGCCTTTTTTTTTTTGTCAAGTGGTAAGTGGTGAAAGGCCAGAAAGTCTTTCACACATTACTGACCAAAAAACAGTTCCCATGTAAAATGGACCCTCCTCGAACCTCAAAATGGCGAGGGCTTCATTTGTTAGTGGCCTTCATGTTAAGTTGAATCACTGAATTCCATTTTTATGCAATACCAAATAATAATCACTTCTATTAAATACCTTTTGTTACTCAACAATGGGAAACAATCAAATAAAACTGCATTACGATGATCAAGGTGAATAAATTTTCATTGACATCTTAAGTTCAAGTGCTCTTAAATAAACAAAAGTTCATGCAAAATTTTAGTGCTGGTTGATTGGTTAGAATGCCAAACAGCTAGGAACAGGCATATCTAGTAATATAGAATTTTGAGATGATGTTGAGATGATATGGCCTTAGCAAAAGATGAAATGATCAGTAAAACCCTTTTTGGATTTAATACAGCATGAGGTTGAAGATCAAAATTAACTCAGTGGTTTTAATATACCCAACATATTTCACGCAGTTTGGTCTACAAGTTTGCTCTTTTGTCTTATACAATAAAATATAATGAACAAGCATAAAAGAAGATCGAATGATGATGTTTACACATGCTAAAAGCACAAATCACATACCTTTGAGTAATATCTGCAGCCATTGGGACCTTCAGTTACAAGTAGCAATTTAAGATTTGGATGAAACAGTTTCCTTACAACAGCATCATCATAGGGATCTTCCCCTTTAGTCAAAAAGGAAATTTCTTCTTCACTTATCTGCTCCAGTAGACTAATAAATTCATTAGTCTAATGCACCTAATGAAGTAAAATGCTTAAAAGACAAGTCTTTTAACATATGAAAATGCTACCTTGATGATATCAGCAGTATCCCATATGCTCAAGATACCATCTCTAGCACTTTCTGCAGATGGCCATAGTGGCAGTCTTAGGTTGGGATCATATGACAGAAGCACTCCAGCTTCTTTAGCAGCTTTAGCTGCAGCAATGTGTGCAGACTTGCATGGTTCAGTGATAAGGCTGATAGATCCATAATGGAAGATCTTTGCCTGACATAAATGTTATGATCAACAATCTGAGTAAATTATATTGCAAATACAGTGACTAAGCATAAACACAAGATGACTGAAAGAATCCATAGATCTTTTTCTATCAACCGATTTGTCCTCATATACCTTCGTAATGATGTCAAGATCAAGTTCTGCTACTTCAAGAAGCATATCAGCACTAGGATTTCGGTAGAACATGAATTCACGTTCACCATCACTTCTTAATGTAACAAAAGCCAAAGCTGTACGAGCACCAGGGTCAAATCGCATTCCCTGACTATTCACATTATTTTCCTTTAAAATGTTAGCTAGCAAGTACCCGAACTCATCATCACCAACCTGTTCATGGAGTTCAACAAATTAGGTGTGCTGATATCACAACAACAGTACTTCTAGAGCTAAAAAATTATACACATCATAAAACTATCTCATCTTTTGGTTAAGCATAGAAAACTCGTTGCTGCAAAAACAGGCACGCTCATTCCATGTTCATTATGGTTTTTCAGTTTTTACTTATATGCTTGGTTAGATGACCTAGCATAGATGGAAAAAAAAATGCTTGATACAGTCAACACTGTTTTGTGTTATTAATGATGAATGGCATGGCAAAACAATAGGTTCGAGTCTTTTAAATAATGAATCATGTTTGCTTGTACAGTAAGCACCCAAGAAAATATTAGGATTATATGGACCAACAAGCACAGGATGTTGGCAATGCGGACAGATTGTGATCCTTCCAAAATATAAAGTGGGTCCAAAATTTATGCTGTAAAGTGATGATGGAACTCTTCCAAATTTTGAATTGATCGTAGGGAATTTAATATTTTATTCATATCAGAACTAGACCAAGCTAGAAACAAAAAGGTAAATGTTTATATTTTTTGCAGCTTTAAGTAGATCAACAGTCATTTTATGAATCTAGTAATCTTTATAGGGTTTAAGAACAGTTGTAGGATATTGGAGAGTGCTTTTAATGTAGATTACCTTGGTCAAGATCTGTTTAGCAGCTTATAAATGAGGATTTAAGGTTTAAAAACTGTTAAAGATTTCTCAAGTAAGAAATCATATTTTATGGTGAAAACCACGTACTCTTCACCTTTACTTTTTCTTCTTAATTTTACTATATAGTTGCATAAAACTTCTTAATTAGAAGGCCCTCTATATGAAAACTTCTTAATTTTCAAAAAATCCTCATTTCTTCCATGAGCTTCTTGGACATAACAAATTCATTTTGGTCAATCCAATAAGTTTTAACTGAGATCAGTCCTGAACTTTGCTTGATTTGGGTTCTGGTCAGGCACTTTCTGTTTCAGTTTGTCATGGCATACTAATTTGAATTCGATCTGCACCCTAGTCTTGGAGCATCACTCATTCCACTTGGTTAGGTCCTCTCCTCCCAAAAAGACTGACACAATATTCACTTATATATAATCAGAAATCATGGGTTTCAAAAAATTATTTACTTGTTTAACATTCTCCAAAATTTTATGCTTTACCAAAAAACCTTGGTCTGTATAAACTTCCTAAGAAGTATTGTGGATGTCTTTTCTGTTATCTAGAGTCTAGTAAGCACATAGGTCTTTAGTACTATATGTCTATACAAATATAACAGGCCAATCCTCTTTGAGGATGTCCATGACTATTTTTCAGGAACAAACCTAAACAATGACCTCATTTGCTTCTCTTCATCCTCTCTTCAATCCCTTGTCGAAAGAAGATAGTAGGAGGTGATAAATCTACCAAAAGCTTTCATGTACAATAATACAATGTGATATGTACGACTAAACAACAAAATGTCAAGAAGGCTATATTGAATATTTTGTCCAAATTTTTAGTGACTTGAAATAGAACATCAAAGAATCTTTATACTTCTTATTTGAAAACACAAGGGTCTTATGAGAACACTGGAAGGCTATGGGTACAAAGAACTAGTTTGATTCTAAGTTCATGTGACAATGGAGAAATCTACCAAGGAAGAGGCAATTTATATTCAAATAGAGTACATTCTGAGGGAATTACCTTTCCAATAAATGCTGATGAACCACCAAGACGTGCTATTCCGACAGCAACATTAGCTGGTGCACCTCCAGGGGCCTTCTTGAAAGCTGGAGCTTCGGCCAATGATAAGCCACTGACAGTTGGCACAAAATCAATCAGCATTTCTCCAAAGCAGACTATAAGTGAAGAATCACTTGTCTCTAGAGGATCACTATTCCCCGAAACTGCTTTTATACAACCTAGAGTAGCAACAAAATGTCAGGAAGCAACCAAAAAGTTCCCAAATTGTGATGGAAATGAAGGTTAACAGAATAACTCATGATTGACACTCAAAAAGAGAAAATGCTGGATATTGATGGAATAAGAGGCATCCAAACAAGTACCACAAGACCACAAGTCTTTCAATTTTCAATAGATTTCTGAAGTTGGACAATTCACTTAGTAAGCAAGCAGATGCTTCATTTGTTTGACCTTTCTTTTCTTAATTTCAAACTCATGAAGTTATCCATAAAATCAAATTTATGGACAAACCCTTTTTTGCTGACTCGTCATATAAAGAAATGTTAATCCTTTACCAAACAGTCAGATACGAACCCTTTTTGGATTAACCTATTGCCGTCAGATTCTAAGATCTTGTAACACATTATATGATAGCACTATATCGCACAGAGAACACCAAATCATGGAGCCTTTGCTTAAAACATGAACCTTATCTGTAATCAAAGTTATGATGGTTTCGATTAGAAGTAATCACAGAAAAACTGGAACATCAGCACACTAAGATCGGCCAAGCTTTTGTAACACATTTTCCTTTTGTCGGAGAGTCTGATTTCTACCAGCACTGGTTTAGCTAGGTTGTAATCTGCACTAAGCAATGGTATGTTTGAGTAAAGAGCGACTAAATTCCAGTTGCGAGCTCCAATCCGAACCTCGGTGTCGACGGATCGGGTAGCACGTGGGCAAGGCTGCTATGGTAGGTCGTCTGGTTGGGAACATTCTGAGAGAAGCGGCGTCGTTGGAGCGGAGTCGGGCGCCCGATGCGAGGCCGGGGAATGCGGGGGCGGCGGCGTGGAAGGCCATTGGATCGCGCCCTTCGGACTCCGAAGCGCTCGCGGAGCTCTAGAAGAGATTCCTCTTCTCGGAAAAACCAGGGTTAAGTAACGATGCGGGAGGAGGAGGTGGTGGTCGTCCTTCTTTGGATGTGCCGTTGGGTGGCCTTCCAGCTTCTTTGATAGCGGAGAGGCAAGTGGGAGCGGATCGCCCGTCGCAACCCATTCACGGAGAGCCAAAAAGAAGCAAATTTATTGCTTAATATTCTCCCGAAACGGTGGGACCCAGATTCTAATCAAATGCGAAGGCGTTCTTCCCTAGGAAATGGCTTGGCCGAAACACAGGAGCTATTTCAGGAGTTATTTCTTGAGGATTAAAAATTGATGCCGATAAATTTACCGTTTGACCTGCCTAAATTAGCGAGAAACTGCTCTTTAACCCCTAAATGTTGTACCCATCTCCACTACCTGTGTGCTTATTCGAGGAATGGAGCGGGAACCATGTTGAATATAGACTTGGGCCGTACTTACACGCTGTAACGTGGCGGGGCGGAGGCGGGTGGTTTGTGGGTCGGTCGACGGCCCACCCACCCACCCCGACTCCTAAGCACGCCATTTTCCAAGATGAATTATAAAACATAAAAGATTGAAAAAAAATTAAATTAAAACTAATTAAAATTAAATATCCAATGTAAAATTAAGTTAGAACTAAGGAAGATATATTGAAAATAATTTTACAATTGATTCCAAATAATTCAGATATTAAGATTTGTTGTATTATTTTTTTTTTTGTCTTTTTCAGAGTCATTGACATAATTCTCACCTATATTTGTTGTAACTGAAATGATAAAATTATCCTGGCTAGAGGATGAAAACCTTTAAAAATATTGCAAGAAATCACCATTCACCTCATATTAACTTCTTAAGAGAAAATTAAAAAATATTATTATAATACCTCGTTCAGCTCACATCAAAATAAATCAAAATTTCGGTTGACATATAAAGCTATGATGTGTATGTTATTATTGACATAATTTTAAATATTCTGAATAATGATTCATGTTTTATCAGATTAATAGATTAATTATCTTATTTAATCAAATGTTAATATCCTATTTAGTTAATTATCAAATTATAATATGAAAGGTAAATGTTACATGTTCTTACAAAGAATTATCCTTCCTCAAATAAAAAAAAAATACACCTAATGATGACTAATTATAGATTATCTTTTACAATTATTTATCTTTGACATCTCGATTTTATATTTATAAGATTTTATTAAGATCTTTATTAAATACTTAACACTATTATTCCAATAAAATCTCTCTTTCTCTTGATTTTTAATTTTATAAAATTATTTATCTTTAACATCTCGATTTCCCAATATAATTTTAAAAAATATAAATATTTATAATTAATCCTTAATAAGATCAACAACAGTCTCCAATAAAGGAAATACTATGTGTAGTTCTTTGTGCCAACACAATACAGCACAATACCCAGGGTAACATCAGGGACTTCCGCCAGGGCAGGCGACAATGCTCGAGAAGGTCTCCCAATGACACACAGGCAAAAGGAGCGTCCAATAAAAATACGCTGACTCTTTTCTTGAAACCAGTCACTTTTTGTCTCTATCTGTTGTGGCTCATGGGAAACCACAGCGCTGACAGACCGAGAGATCTTCCATCCTTCTCCATCAATTAATTCACAGAAAGAGTAATCATTTGGCGTTATGCATCCCCACAACACTGACAGCACGAGATATCTTCCTTTCTTCTTTCTTATGAATAAAAAGCAATCATTCGATCCATGTTGCCTTTTCGTCCTTGTTGGAACTTGGAACCACAATATACCAGCACGCCAACTAAAATATGCAGCAAAACGCAAACAAAACTACAGAATACAAGTCGAGTAGGGTCTTCTTCTTCCTCGACCTTTTGTCGGATAACCAAACCAAAAGGAGTTTTAGAGAGAGAGAAAGAGAGAGTGAGAGGAGATCAGTTCACCGAGGGACACCCTTCCAGCGTCTACCGACGGGGATGGGAGAAGGAAGGGAGGTGGCGCCGTCACGCGGTGGTGAGAGGACCGCCGGGAAGAACTCGTCGGTGTCGCATCGGAAGTTGGAGTTCTTGAAGTTGTTCACGAGAGCTTTTCTTCCCTTCATTATACGTGACAATACATTACCATCAGATCAGCATTAATTGCAGCATCAATGCCGGTCGAATCAAATAATATGAAGCGAGTGGCGGGACGCGGTTAATTAAGAGGAAGGGACCCACCTGAATGCGAGCGTAGCAGACGTGCGAGATCTTCTTGGAACCGAAGACCTTCCACTCGTGGCGGTGCATCGCGCCGTACAGCCTCCGCGCCGCCGCCGCCGTCGTGAAGTTCACGAACGCATACCCCAAATTGCACCCGTTCCTGTGTGTTGATGTTTTGCCAGCGTCTTCGTTGTTAGCGAGACTAATATATGTTCAAGGAACAAGTAATAGTATCAACTTGCACTGACTTGAAATCGATGGGCAAGTAAACGAAGTCGTATTGCGACGGTGCGGAATCCAACAACTGTGCCTTTTCGTTCTCCTTGGCGCAGTGCTCGTCCAGCAACCCGATCAACATATCTCGGCTGCTTTCATGCGTGTAATCAATTTTCGACGTAAGGAAACTAATTACTAGAAGATAATGAATTCGGGGTACGTAAAATGGAGAAGAACGTAAAGCACCTGAACTTGTTAGGGATGTTCTTGATCATGACAGTGGTTCGTTGGTCAGCTTTAGAGTGGAAGTCTTCGTCGAACTCCAAAGATACACCAAGCTGATTGTATTGTTCGCCAATCTCTCTGTTGCCGCTGCTTTGTCCTGGACGAGACCGACAAATCAATCGTTTCTTTTCTCTCGGCTTAAGATCCTTATGCTTGGGGCACTGAGCAACTGCAGCATGTGGTGGTGCTGGTGGAGGAGGATTGTTGTGTGGCTGCTCGATTCCTTCTTCTGGGATAGTCCCAATGGGAAGATGATCCGTTTGCGTTGCTGAGTGTTGTTGAACTTGGCAAGGCTGATTGGAAAAGGGTGGAGACAGTCCCGGATGAAGGGGAGGAGGAGGAGAGAGAGTGGGGAATAGCAGGTACGGGTGTAAGCATGGTGGTGGATAGAAATACGGTGGAGAAGAGTGGCCATATGGGAAAGGACGTAGAGGCATCGGCAGGAAGTACCTTGTAAATGGCGGCAGCGGTGGTGGTGGCGGAAGAGGAGGAAAAGGAGCAGAGTATTCAAATGGTGGAGCTCTGGGATTCAGCATCGAGCATGGATAGCCGACGATACTATCGACGAAGACTAGCGACCAAGAACCAGGGACGTTCTAGCGGAGGAAGAGAGCACCAGACGCAGTTCGGCGGCAGCGAAGAGAGAGAGATAGAGAGAGAGGGAGGTGAGGAAACACCAAATAAATGCTGTGAGCTTGAGCTTGTACGATCAAAGCAAAGGAGTTCATGCAAACGAAAAGTCGCAGGCGCAGGAGGAGCTCCAGGTTGCAGTGCTCGTAATCCATTATTAAATGCATGGTCGCTCATCATCCCCTCGGGAGCACCACAGGCTTTTAATCCAACGATGTGCCCCAGCTGATTCATCGATAAGTGAGCATGAGATTTCGTTTATTATCCCACTAAATTGTTGTGTTGGTAAATATTTGTAGATTTCTGAAATTACTTATCTACAGAGTATATCAATCATACACATATATAATACATACTATTATGACTTCCCGTTGACATTTTGACTTGTACAGATTCAGAACTCATTTCTGAATCACCTCAACCAATATCAATCTTCGTAGTCTCCATATATTACTCGGTCCATTCGTCCACAAAAGGACAATTCTTAGCACAATGGGAGGAACAGAGGATCTCAGTATCAGTATTGAAGAAAGGACTCGTCCATTTAGCTGTGGCATTTTGACAGTGGGCTCATTCTGTGCATGAGTGAGACCACCCCACAGCACTGCCCTCATCTTAACATCAGGGCGTGCTAAGCTAAAGGTACCTCATCCCCTTACCAAAAAGGATGCTCCCATGTCCTTCCTTCTCTGTCTCTGTGCTTGTTTGCCAGAGGAGACGGTCAAGAATTCCAAGGGGAGACGTTCCCGTTTTGCTGCTTCCTTCAGGGAGTCAAGAGCGCTCCACTCCCACCTACAAACAAAAAGCTCACTCCAATCTGCAACGTCACAGCCTTCCACTTTTGAGGTCACAGAACCAAGCGCCGTTTCTAATCCCATGCAACGTCGGGGAGAGGTGGTGAAAGCGTGCTCTCTTTCAGCAGACAAATGCGAAGAGAGTGAAAGAAGAAAGCCAGTCTAACTTTTCCTTATACGTATCCATCTGTTATGTTTTATGCTTCATTTTCATGTCTCGACCCTCTTTGGGGAAGTCTTGGGCAGCGCAATAATAAATGCCGTGTCTTGGAGAGAAGGTGAAGCTGTCCTGCCATATCATCTTCTCGTGCTTGCATACCACAGAGAAACAACAGTGGTAAACAAAGCAAAAAGGAGGTTTGTACGTGATCGTTTATGATAAGCTACAAGCAATGCAGTCTTTGTGTGTTTGGAGGAAAACATTGGTAGTCTCCACAGGAGCTGCAAGAGTCAGATTCAGCTGAGTCGTAGAACTGGAGGATCATGGTCAGAACAAAAGATCTGTTTCCCAGGAAGAGGTCTCGGTGAGTTGCCTTTCCACTGCAGTGGAGGTGGAGACGGGTTGCGGTGCTACTGCAGTCGACTGATGCTATCGTGCATGGCAATGCTTTTTAGATCTGTAGATTAGGAGACGCTCTCTGCCTTAACTAACGAAATCCTTCTCTCTCTCTCTCTCTCTCGCGTACCAGTAACAGATGATGACATGAAGTGGATGGCTATTCATGCTTCGGTGACAACTCTCTTGGGATGGGGCTTCAAAAGCAGTCAAGTCAATAACCTATTCGTATAATATTGGATGCCACATCAAGATTGTAATGGGCTAGGCTCAATGAAGTACCGGGAAAAAACAAAATGCCACAAAGAGATAAGGCTAGACCAAACTATTTAGGCCATAAGCACAAGAGGAGTCATTGCTCATAATTTTATTTTAATTTTTTTCGATATTTTAATTATTTTAGAATAATTATTTATTTTATTGGGAAATATTTATTTTTATTAATATATTTTAGGATAATTATAAAAAACAATGCCTATTTGATTTTGATGATATTGGATTCTTTTTTTCCTGTGCAACACATAAATTAGAAATATATAATTTACTAATTATAGTATAAAATTTGATTATCCAATTTGAATATAGATTTTGAACTAATAACCCATCTAACTCCAAAGGGGCTAAACCCTATAAAGCTATGTCAAAAGTGTTTTTGATAAATATTCTTTCAATATTCCCATGATAATAATAATTATGGAGGATGATTACAAAGGTATCAAACAAATATCACTTGAATGCTTAAGTTAGGAAGGATTTAATCAATGACTTAAATAGTACTATAAAAAAGGTAAGAAGGAGCATACTTAATGAGCTCTTTTTATAATAGGTTGGTTGAATGATTACTCCCATGATCAACGATAGATTGCTGAGGTGTCGAACATATGTTGATCATGTGTCAACTTTTTGTTGGTCATGTGCAATAGTCATATGCCACTAAACTGGCAACCACATGGTGTCCACATGACATTGAAATCACGTGGCATTGACGTGTTACTATTTTGCACTGATGTAGCAACCACTTGATGTTGGTGTGGTGTCATATGGGGTTGAGGTAACACCGATGTGCCATCCACGTGGCACTATGGTGGTTCCCACAGGACGTTAAGGTATCATCCATGTTAATTTTTTTATCATAACACTTGTCCCCGATTTCCCGAGACGAGAAGCGAAACAAAATGAGAAGTAGAGTCAATAGGGTCAGACATGACACGCACAATGGGTCAACAAGGCCAAGTGCGGGGCGTATAACGGACCAATAGGACAGAGAACGATGTGCAAAATGAGCCGAGAAGATCGTGGTGTCAAAATGCACGCTATAAGCCATTTGGCCTCGGGCATTGTTCAATGGAGTGCTTCACGACAGATATAGCTACACCATGGGATTTGGCGATCGGCGTTATTTGGGTTGTGTTAGTAAGCACCCTCATCCGATCAGTCATGTAATGCCAAGCTGTTGGTGTGCCTTATGGAAGCACATTATAGCATTGTGGAGGTACGCTGCGGTTGCAAGTTGGGGCCACCATGAAGTGTTGCATCGTCTCACTGAGGCTTTGACCGACTACGGATGCGATCCCAAGTGAGGCTAGTCAGCCATGCCGAACGACTGTTTCTCCTTGTGCAAGGATGATTGGCTGTTGCCGTGATGCTGCCTCTGTGCGCTGCAGTTCGCTATAAGGCTATCACTCAGATCCGCAAGATGCTTCCCGAAGTGTTCCAACTCGGCTACCCCCCACCACAATCTCTTACGAGAAGCGAGTTGAAACCATTCTGGCGGACCATAAGATAAAGCTACCTAATGGAGCTGAGCAGACATAGTACTTGGTGAAGTGGCGAAAGTTTTCCCGAATTGAAGCCACTTGGGAGCCTGAAGACGCCCTACGACATGAAGAAGCAATCATCAACAACGACCAACAAGCGTCAACGAGAGCGTTGATAGTTTAAGTGGAGGAGAATGTCACGAACGGTTATCGTGCACCTGCAACAACTTCGTTCAATGAATCGTTCGTCGCTCTCATCTACATGTACAACTGCTTGGCAGCATGTTTTGTCTTGGTTTTGAGTCATTTTGCTTGTAAAAATATAAGTTCGAACAAGTTGCAGCGTTACAAAGCGATTGCTCACCGAACCGAGCAAAACAGCCCCAAAACAGCCCAAAACCGCTCCGTTTTCATGTGCCATGGGCTGTTTTCTGTGGTTCGCCTCCACTCATAAACGTCAGCTATCTCAGCCCCTTGGAACCACCCGGGTGGCATAGGGCTGGATGGGGCTTCGGTATAGTGTCGGGTGTTGAACAATCTTTAGCAAGTTCGCACGTTACCTTGACGGGAACTTGTTGTCACGCCCGGCACTCGGTGAGCAGATGTTTGTGGACTTGTAGTTGTTCGTTCAACCTTCTAAAGTCCCTTTTTTCCTCCTCTCTCTCTTTTCTCTTGTGCACGCAAAGTGCTCGCTGAATTGCTTGTATAAATTTCCATTTTCGTGAGATGTCAGGACTTGTCCGTAGCTTGTTTTTCAAACTAATCAACTTTCTCTTTTCACAGGTCCTTCGAGACCTGCAAGAGGTTGCAAGTGAGCTAATATTTGCGGACGCAAATAGTAAGGACGAAGTGCGACTTAGGCAACGCAAGCTAAGTTCACGTCTTTGCCGCAATGGTGCCTCACGCCTTAGGCAATTCTAGCTAAGACCGTGACATTGGGGTGACTACAGGACCATCACGTGAGCCAGCAATACATCAAGAGTCCACCTACCATCTCAACTCCCCGCTACGATGGGTCACATTGTTGCCCCAACGGGGCCGCTTGTACAGATTTTTACCTTTGCGATCAAATCAGCTCATGTTGATTCCTTGGTCAATGGTATTAAAACAACAACTCAAGATAAAATGTGACCTATCAGGTATCAATGACCGAAGTCCTCAAACATCACGTGCCATGATATACTTGCCATAGCTTTGCCACTTGGCATTTGGATCTGATTTGGACTTCTTGTTTTTGGATTACGATCCTAAGTATTTGGCACTCGGCATGGTACCTGTGATTGTTTGTTTCTCATCTCTCCTTTCTCATGTGATCAAAGAATACAAGTGAAGAATTGAGATCCGAAAATAACATATCTACGTATCATATCTTAAATACCCTGTGATTGGAAATTATTTTTGAATTTCTAAAGTCAATGTAATTAAAGAATAAAAATATTATTATAAAAAATATTTCTTTGTGAAGTAAAAAAAATCTTTGAAAATTAAGATTTAATTATTATAAAAATATACCACATGTTCTAAGTTTTGGTGGGATAAATATGTAAGAAAATGCTCCAAGATTTAAGGAAAAAAATAAAAAAATTATTTATGATTTATGTGATATGATAAAAAAAAAGAGATTGACTCAATTGTGCTCATAATTAATCTTATATAGTGAACATTTTGATTTTTTTAGGGAGGTCGATAAGAGTACAGAGTCACACAAATCTTGTATCAGTTTTTTTTATATGATATTTGATTCTTAATTTTTAGGATTTCCTTTTTAGGTTCTAAGCCATCTCTTACCCAATACTACAAAAGAACATGAGATCTACGCATAATTTGTAAGTTTGTATTCGAGGATGTTAACCTCCGTAGGTTTATAATTGAAACTAATCACATTTTTATTATAAACTATTGTCCAAATGTTTTGTATCAACGATTTCTAATGTCGTGGACGAATAACATTTCCTTAACATAATGTTGACAAATTCCCTATTATTATAATTAATCTTAAGGATGAAGTTGATGAACCAGAGCGCTGTTTCACGCAGAAAAATATTAGTACATGTGGTCGGAATATTTGAAGCCTGAGATCGATGCTGCTGATTCCCAATGTCATCTGAATGCCAAAAGGAAATAACTCTTCTGCTCGACTAATTCGGCTGGTCTTTACGTCGTCATTTACGAGCAGTTCCCACAGATTTGGAGGTCGGTGAGAAAGAACACTGTTTGAGACGGGCCAATGGCTATATGATGGAGTACAAGTTACAGACAAAGAATGATTGTGAAGATCGCCGCTGTCTATTATATGGTCGGAGCCCAAACAATGAGGCCAAGCTCGAGCTGGAAGTATAGCCACTGGTTTCGCATTCACTGTAGCATTGTCTCAGAACTATCTTCGTCCTACGCGGAAAACAGAGTTTCATGCATGCAATTCTGCATTCCATGAGTTATTGATGAGTGTTAAGACTTTTTCGCGAATATTATAGCTCGATCATGATCGATAGATACGGTGATATGGGTCTAATATGAAGTAGTCGGTTGTCCAAAGAGAGATTATGAATGAGTAAGCTCACAGTGGTCGGAACTGGTCTGTGTGGAACAGGCGGCGGGCGGAAGGTGACACGCGTCGAGATCACACTCTATGGCGGTGAGACGTGGCTGGTGTGCGAGCTCGACCACCCGGAGAAGCCCAACAAGTATGGCAGGTATTGAGTGCTGGTGCTTCTGGTCCCTGGAAGTGGAGGCCTTGAATCTGCTCGGTGCCAAGGAAGTCGCCGTCCGTGCATGGGACGAGTCCCTCAACACCCAGCCCGAGAAACTCATTTGGAACGTCATGGTAATTATTTCTCACCTTTATTGGTTAGTAAATTGAGTTTGTTGATGAATGTATGTTGACAGAAGTGGTGGTGGTGGTGCAGGGGATGATGAACAACTGCTGGTTCAAGGTGAAGATGAAGGTGTACCGCCCGCAAAAGGGCGAGATTGGGCTTGTGTTCGAGCACCCGACGTAGCCGGGGAACCAGCTTGGTCCACCGAGGGGAGAGCGAAGCGGAAGAGTCGAACGTCGTGCGATACGGTCTTCTTGGCCACGATCTTGCACTGTACTCTCTCACTGGGGTTCATGAGAGCCGGGGAACGTGAGATCTCTACGATGCTGGCCAGGTGGGAAAAGTTGCCCGAGCCGTGAAGGGAGGTGTCGGAGACGTAACCCGAAGGGATGAGCTCGCCGATTCGGTAGGTGTCGAGGAGGGCCTTGGCCTTGTCGGAGTGCGAACTCCTCGGTGCAGTCGCAGCCGGCTTTAATGAGAATGCTGTCGGCGCCGCCGGGGTGGTCCTTGACGAAGGCGGTGCAGTCGTAGACGTGGCCGTGTACGACGATCCAGGCGGAGTGGCTCGACGCGTGCTTGTGGACCTCCGACATGGTGTACTGCTTGGTCGCGGTGTTCATGAAGGGGGTGGAGGTGCTCTTCTTCAGGGACGCTGCCTCCGACGTCTCCAGGTGCTTCTGCCGCGCCATCCACCCGCCGGACTGGTTCCCCGGCTGCGTCGGGTGCTCGAACACAAGCCCAATCTCGCCCTTGTGCGGGCGGCACACCTTCATCTTCACCTTGAACCAGCAGTTGTTCATCATCCCCTGCACCACCACTTGGTCCCTTCGGGTTACGTCTCCGACACCTTCCTTCACGGGTCGGGCAACTTTTCTCACCTGCCCAGTATCATAGAGATCTCACGTTCCCCGGCTCTCATGAACCCCGGTAAGAGGGTTCAGTGCAAGCTCGTGGCCAGCGTCATAGAGATCTCACGTTCCCCGGCTCTCATGAACCCCAGTGAGAGGGTACAGTGCAAGCTCGTGGCCAAGAAGACCGTATCGCACGACGTTCGACTCTTCCGCTTCGCTCTCCCCTCCGCGGACCAAGTGCTGGGCCTCCCGGTCGGCAAGCACATCTTCCTCTGCGCCACCATCGACGGCAAGCTATGCATGCGCCCTTACACGCCAACAAGCTCCGTCGACGAGATCGGCCACTTCGAGCTCCTGATCAACGTCTATTTCAAGGGCGAGAACCCCAAGTTCCCCAACGGTGGCCTCATGTCGCAGCACATGGAATCCCTGCCCATCGGCTCCACCCTCAACGTCAAGGGCCCGCTGGGTCACATCGAGTACGCCGGCCGCGGCAACTTCCTCGTCGACGGGAAGCATAGGCCAGCGAGGAGGCTCGCCATGATCGCCGGCGGGACTGGGATCACGCCGGTGTACTAGGTGATCCAGGCGGTTCTACGGGACCCGGAGAACCGCACCGAGATGCACCTGGTGTACGCCAACAGGTCGGAGGACGACATACTGCTGCGGGACGAGCTCGACGGCTCCGCGCGGGAGCACCCGGAGCAGCTCAAGGTCTGGTACGTGATCAACGAGGCCAAGCGGCGCGACCAGTGGCGGTACAGCACGGGGTTTGTCACGGAGGGCATACTTAGGGAGCACATTCCCATGGGCGGCTGCGACGACGCACTCGCACTCGCCTGCGGGCCCCCGCCGATGATCCAGTTTGCAGTGGTGCCCAATCTGGAGAAGATGAAGTACGACACAGCCACCTCACTGCTACTGTTCTAAGACCGCCACCACCGCTGCCTACAGTGCAATGTTCCTTAAGGATGAAGTTGATGAACCAGAGCGCTGTTTCACGCAGAAAAATATTAGTAAATGTGGTCGGAATATTTGAAGCCTGAGATCGATGCTGCTGATTCCCAATGTCATCTGAATGCCAAAAGGAAATAACTCTTCTGCAGCAGTATGTCGAGCTCGTCCCGCAGCAGTATGTCGTCCTCCGACCTGTTGGCGTACACCAGGTGCATCTCGGTGCGGTTCTCCGGGTCCCGTAGCACCGCCTGGATCACCTGGTACACCGGCGTGATCCCAGTCCCGCCGGCGATCATGGCGAGCCTCCTCGTTGACCTATGCTTCCCGTCGACGAGGAAGTTGCCGCGGCCGGCGTACTCGATGTGACCCAGCGGGCCCTTGACATCGAGGGTGGAGCCGATGGGCAGGGATTCCAAGTGCTGCGACATGAGGCCACCGTTGGGGAACTTGGGGTTCTCGCCCTTGAAGTAGACGTTGATTAGGAGCTCGAAGTGGCCGATCTCGTCGACGGGGCTTGTTGGCGTGTAAGGGCGCATGCATAGCTTGCCGTCGATGGTGGCGCAGAGGAAGATGTGCTTGCCGACCGGGAGGCCCAGCACTTGGTCCGCCGAGGGGAGAGCGAAGCGGAAGAGTCGAACGTCGTGCGATACGGTCTTCTTGGCCACGAGATTGCACTGTACCCTCTCACTGGGGTTCATGAGAGCCGGGGAACGTGAGATCTCTATGATGATGGCCACGAGCTTGCACTGAACCCTCTTACCGGGGTTCATGAGAGCCGGGGAACGTGAAATCTCTATGATGCTGGCCAGGTGGGAAAAGTTACCCGACCCGTGAAGGAAGGTGTCGGAGACGTAACCCGAAGGGACCAAGTGGTGGTGCAGGGGATGATGAACAACTGCTGGTTCAAGGTGAAGGTGAAGGTGTGCCGCCCGCACAAGGGCGAGATTGGGCTTGTGTTCGAGTGCAGCGGGACGGGCGTAACGAACCCGTGGTGCATGAGCCGGGCCAGCGGCGGCTCGCAGTTGAACGGGTGTTTCCCGGTGAGCCGGATGAGGGATGGGTTGCGCTCGATCCATCTGTCGGCGGTGCTCTCGTCCCTCGGGTCGTGAATCGACGGCTCCACCTCGAGGTGACTGCCGCCGTACTCCGCCGTCCAGTCGAGCACCTCCTCCTCCTCATCACAGTCGTCATCGTCGCCGTAACGTTGGTCCTTCTCTTTCGCGGGGACAAGAGATGGGAAGCCGCAGCCGCGCACCGACGAGTCCGAAAGTTGGTAATTTCCCGACGTCTTTCCGACGGCAGGAGCCGGGGCGACGAGACCGGTTGAAGGACTTCGGATGCACTGCCGGTTGCCGACAGAGGCCGCAGCTGCCCGGCTCGAAGCGGCCGAACTGCCGGTTGCCGACAGAAGCCGCCATGACCGGTTGAAGGACTTCGGATGCACTGCACTCAGAAAAGTCTAGAGGAGTTCCAACTTCTTGGTTGGGTGAGCATGGAATGCGGGCATGGAGGGATGGGCCTCATATATGGCATCACCGGGGAAGAAGTAGACGAGCGTGTGAAAGGGTGGTGTGCAGGGGGCCCCACGTTTAGCATATCCGGTATCGGAGAGGGTGAAGGTTAAGGGAATGGAAAAAGGTTGTGCGGATAGGCTGGTGCACCGTCTCCTTTTTATACTGTTCAAGTCGTGTAGAACGGACAAGTGTACGTCCATTCACCACGACAGTGCATTTTAGAATATATTTCTCTGACACAGACGTTAAGCGTTGAATGCGTGGTGCAAAGGATGAGGAGAAGAGAGTGACGAAGCTGCAAGGGTCGCGGCAACCTCAACGCCTGGCCGAAGGGCCAACGTGACGCTCCCTTCGCCAAGACGCGGCCTTTCCATTGGCTGCCATGTGCGTTTGCGTCGTCCCGGAGGGACCAAAGCTGCGTGATAGTTTCGCAGGAGAGATAAGAGACTTGAAGAGAGAGAGAGAGAGAGAGAGAGAGAGAGAGAGAGAGAGAGATAGAACGA